AAGTCATTGAGAGGGGATATCTTTAATATGGTCATCTTGGGCACAAAGCTCTAGCTGTGAACACAGAGCTAAAACAGTCTATTTTAGCTAACAGATCAACTGAGGGGCTGCACCAATGACCAATGCCACATAAATGAGAATTTGAACTATGAATCATGCAAAAAGTCCAATAATAAAACACATGGGACAAGAAATGAACGTAAGAGTTCCCCTTTAACTTGAGGCAAGAAAGCTAATAAGAATATTCCTCAAACTGCCAAAGCACATCTTTTAAACTTCGCCTTCAGGGTGTAGGTCAGACTGAAGATTAAGGCCAAGACTGTTGAAATAGCAAAGCGTGGAAACATCACAAGTGGAGCAGGGCAATCAAAGTGTTTCCAGGCATACAAAAACTGATCTTAAGAAAAATCACTATGAAGCATGAAGCAATGGTACACAACAAAATGTATGACTTTAGCATTTTCTTCAGTGCTGAAAATGCAGGTGAGCTAAAGTATATGATTTTCTCAGAATTACTCATTGATGCCTAAATGGCTGCCCTTCAACCGAATTATATTATTACTGTATGTTATTATATAATGATTGAACTTTTAAAAATCATAATTATTTCTCACTGTGCGTCCTTGACATCCATATTGGTCTTTCTGTGTTGTGTTAAGTTAGCGCCAAAGTAATTTGTTTTTCTCGTTTTATCTTATTAAGACTGTTTGTCTGACATGAATTGGAGTTTGAGTGATGAAGGAGAGGATGGGTGAACAAAATGTAAAAAAAGAGAGAATAAATGGAAACACTTGATTAACAAACACACATTTGGCGCACACACACTAACAATAAGCAGCCTAATTACATCAAAAACATCCAGGATTTTCTCACAGTAAAATGATCAATCATGACAAAACTGTGAAATCTGGAAAGAAGGAAATTGTTCCCACTGTTTTGTTTAGAAATAAAAAAAAATTAATGTCCCTTTTAACTGGGTTGGTAGTTAGTCTGTTCCCTAGCAACCTCTAATGTAAGTAACTATTTGTATTGGGGAGGAGAGTCTGTGCATAACAATACCAGTAAAACCTTTAGTCATATCAATCTAGTTAAGCAAGATTACTCAAAGTAAAGCATAACTTTTAGATAGATAGATTTTAAATAGATGAAAATAGTGATTTATTAATAACTATTTTACAATAATAGTGATTTATTAATCACTATTTTACCTAGCTATGGATAACATGAACTTCTGATTGGCTACAGCTGTCCAGATCACTGTTTGAGGTATCAAAAACTGGTAGTAACCATATTCATTACAGTCTTTCACTTCTTAACATAAAAAATAATATTTAAAATTAATTCTTTCCTCTTTTACATAAACTAAAAGTTAAACAGCAAAAATTAAGTTAATGTCAATTCAATTTTATTTATATAGCGCCAAATCACAACAACAGTCGCCTCAAGGCGCTTTATATTGTAAGGTAGACCCTACAATGATACATACAGAGGAAAAAAAACAACAACAATCATATGACCCCCTATGAGCAAGCACTTTGGTGACAGTGGGAAGGAAAAACTCCCTTTTAACAGGAAGAAACCTCCAGCAGAACCAGACTCAGGGAGGGGCGGGGCCATCTGAATGTTTTTATGCATTCAAGAATTTTTCTATGTAAAATGTTGATGCTTGAGTTTAGATGTCCTACGAGAGGGGATAAACTTTACACATAATGGAGTCTTAACCCATCACACTATTGCATTTTACTTTAAATACATAAGTATACATAAGTACATAAGTACTTATGTATAAGTATAATACATAAGTATCTCCTTTGACTACGATGACCTGGATGACTGAGAACCTTCACAGACATACATAAGTATGTATTAAAACTTTGAATAAGCATATTATTTGAATATTATTAAATTGGCTCAACTGACTATAGTTGTGGGGTAACCAGAGGTTTATGATGAGTTTGACATAGATACTGCTACTTATTAACATTACATGATTACTTTTTCTTCTTTTTTTTGAAGTTATATTGCTGCTGTACTGTATTGAACCACGATGACGCAATTTACACTTCAATCCATAAAAGGGATCGCTAAGCTACGTGACCTTTTGAGTCATTGGTATGGAGTCTACACAGCCTCTCCCCATTTTTGTTACAATGAAACAATTCCCAACAGGATAATCACAGTTTATGACACAGTGAGAAAATCCTACAAATGCCACTATTAAGCATGACAACAGTACATCGATATGATTACACTGAAAAATATCTGCCTTTTCAAGATATTTGTGGCTGTTATTTGAATTCCTAAAGTCATATTTTCTAAAAAAAAAAACAATTTTGGATTTTGGAAAATCTTTACCAAATCATTATTATTATAAATTCCTTTTATTATACAGTCAAGGCAAAAAGAAAGTACACCCTCTGTCAATTCTAAAGATTTACATATCAGGGCATAACAAAAATAATATTTAGCCCTTAACATGTTTTAAAGTTAGGCCAATACAACCTGGGATGACACAGTGACATATAACACCATGCCGTTATTTATTTATACCCTTACATTTGACTCTTTGGTATACAGGAGTTCATAGCTGACTCAAAGGCTGCAATGTGTCCAGGTTCATGCCTAAAATCATCACTCCTCCACCACCTTTGCTGGACAGTTGGAGCGAGTTGGGTATGTTGTGTTGCTGTGCATTGTGGCCACTTTGGTCCTCTCGGTCCAAACAATAGAAGACTTGCAGTTTGTTCAGATGCAACTTTGCAAAACCAAGCCATGCGTCCATGATCTTTTTAGAGAGAAGGGAAGCCATGCAAGTCTTTTTCTAATAGTACTATCACACACTTTAACATTTGCCATGATAACTAAGGCCTGTAGAGTCTGAGAAGTAGCTCTTCTGTTTGTTTTTTGCGTTTTGAGCATCGCACAGTGTGACTTGGGGGTGAATTTGCTGGGACGTTCACTCCTTCATAGATTGGCAGCTGTCTTGGATGTTTCCCCTTCATCCTCACTGCAGAATAATGGACTTCAAATTGTTAGCAGGTGCTTTATAACCCTCCCCAGACTGTTGGGCACCAACAACTCCCTCTCTCTCTCTCATTGCTGATCTCTTGCTTTTTTGGCGTTGTGTTTACACACGCCTGAACGGGCCAGACCAGCAAACTGCCAAAACTTCTGCCACGCACTTTTGACCGTTAATGAAGTTCTTGTGATCATCAGCAACCTTGTAATTCCAATGGAAGCTGTAGACATGTACTGAGTTTTTCACACACTGCTTCTGCAACTTGGCTTAGTTTTTGATACGGTGTAATACTTTACTTAGTTTTAGGACCTTTTTTTATCGCCTGTATTTAAAAACTTAGAACTGACAAAGGGCATTCTTTTTACAATAACTGTAAATACTTACTGAAAACAGGTCACTTATTTTATGAAAATGACTTTTAGGACTCAGTAACAGACAATCACTTGCTTAAATGGAGATTTTTTTTCCAGCGTAAAACCAGACATTCATTTATTCAAAATAAAAAAAATACTCCAGCAATGACAGCTTGTACACATCTAAAAGCAGCAGAAATAAATACACATTTATCATGGCCAAGTTCTTCAGTCACAGTGTGACTTTAATGCTCATTGAGATCATTACAATTCAAATCATAATCATGTCACCTCTTTATGAGAGGGCCACTTGAGTCACACAAAACCACACCATTACAAATCTGCTGTTTTGTCTGTCTGTTTGTTTGTTTTCTATTTTATTTATTTGTTTGACTTACTTTCTGCCTCTGGTCGAGTTATAACTCCCTCCATATTTCTTCCGATTAAGGATGAGAGCAGCAATTTCTGGCACGTAGCGAGCAAACATGGCCTACATGCATGGAAAAGAAAAAGAAAAGGGCATGCAGAGAAGGTTCTACTGCGGCGGAGGCAGTAGAGCCTCCTTGAATACTTACTTTCTCCCATTAACCGCACTATAGGAACCACCATATTTCTTGCGGTTTCCTATTAACTCTATGATTTCAGGGACGTAGCTTGCAAACATGGCCTAAGGAGAAGATAGGAGACAGAAGAAGAGACTAAAAAAAAGACAAGCAAAGAAGAGCAGGTCCTCTATTTTAACTTTAGAGAAATCTGTGAAGTCTGAAAGAGGAGCGCTACTCTACGAGTAGGTTTTTTTTTATGTGTTAACAGGAAAACGGTAAAAGAGAAAAAGAAACGTGTAATTATTCAAATTGACTGAAGAAAATCATGTGAATGTAAGCTGAAGTTATGTCACAGTTACATTCACAATAGAGAAAAAGTATGACAATGGAATCCAGTTTAAAGGCTAATATTTTCAGATACTGAAAGAATAAAGGAGAAAAATGAAAGCAGATGAGCGATATGTTGAAGAAAAAGAAAAATTTGAAAAATTAAGAAAAAACCTTATGTGCCATGTTTCGCCCAACAAACACACGTCGGGTTGATTTCAGTAGCACAGCTCAATGGATGGCAAACAACTTATGGCTGCATGCCACTGCCCAACCACCTGAATATTCCTGCGTGGAGGAGGCAGACGTGCCAGCTTACAACAGATCCAAGAAATTAGTATAAAATTTGTTTTTGTTTTTCTTTTTACAGTGTTTT